GGTAGTTAACAGTTAATGACTGTTAACTTTGAATTGTGCCTCTTGATCACACACGATCGAATCGTGACCGTTGATCTCATCAACGGTGATCAACGGTCAACATCGCACTAAAGCCAAAGCCGCCATTCGCGAGCCACGCGGGTGCGCGAAGTGCGAGCAAAGTGCGCCTCTAAAGTGCCTCATTGCACCGCACACACGCGTGAGCGCATGTTGCGTGGTATCAAACCTCCATACTCTCCTCTACTATTTCTAAGGAGTGTAAATCAGCTCCTATTAAAATACTGAAAACAAAGCTTATAATTTTCCAATGTGGGACAAGTTCAAAACTGGGTTTTGTAAGAGAAAAGCTAATATTCCAATCAAGTGTGTAGGTGCAATTTCTCATGTAATTGACCAATCAAACCCATTGGATTTAATCTCTTATGAGATTAAAATCCAAAACCACTTGGGCTCATGCCGTAGGCCATGTCTGGCCTGACCTCTTAAGGGTTTAGGGCTAGGCAAGCATGACCCACCCAAGCCCGTGTGCTGACACAACACGACCCTTTAAAGCATGGGCAGCCCACAAAATCGTGTCGTGTCCCTTTACACCTCTAGTAAATGCATGTGTATTCAAATAATCCATCTCTCGCAATGTTAAATCTTCATTATGAAGTGTCAGTGTGGTCATTTTGTTCAATTGCCCTTGTCATTCATGTGGTAAGTACTGACTTGTGCCAACTAGACTTGATCTTAGGCTCATGCCTTGATGTTCTATCATTCTTGATCCTGAACCTGTTGTTTTCCTACTTAATGATCCAGTATAGTTTTGTCAATTTTAAGCCTTGTGGAACACATGGCATGATTTGGTGGGTTATTAAAAAGAAACCTGTTGAAGTTGAAATTGGCCACAAAGATGGAAAGTTGCTGGAATAGGGCGCCACCTTAGCTCGGAGTGTCACCTCAGCTCGACACCTCGGTTGCTAAGGGAGACCTGCAATAAGAAGATATGTCAGAGGCCCTAGGGTGATACCCCAGGGGCGTGGAATCAAATGGTTAAGTTAATAACGCCAAGGGAAGAGAAGGTGTGATGGAGAACTTAGTGAGATGATGTGAGAGCTTGGTGAGAGAGTTGGAGAGCTCGGTGAGAGAGCTGAAGAGCTCCATGAGAGATTTGGAGAGCTAGAGAACTCCATGAGAGAGATGGAGAGCTCCATGAGAGAGTTGGAGAGCTTGGTGAGAGATCTTGAGAGCTCCGTAAGAGAGTTGGAGAACTCTATGAGAGAGCTGAAGAGCTCAATAAGATGTGGTGAGACATGTGCCGAGGTATCCAGTGTGTCTTGTGCATATTAGCATGATGCAGTGCTATGCTATGTGTGTGTGTGTGTGTGTTCAAAATAATGAAGGGGCTCACCTATTTATAGGAGAAGGGCTTCATCCAAGAACCAACACATCTCTCGTACATGGTTGGAGCTCGGTCCACTTGTCATACCTTTGTTGACATGTTGTGTACACATTGTGTGTTGTGTGTGTATGCATGTATTCAAATGAATGAGGGGGCTCATCTATTTATATGAGAGGGGCTTCATCCAAGAACCAATACGTCTCTCACACATGGTTAGAGATTGGTCAACTTATCGCACCCTTGTTGACACATTGTGTGCATGTTGTATGCAGTGGTAGGCGTTGGGATTGCATGGAATGTATCGGCATTGATGCTATGATCTGCTTGGCCACGTGTTGTTTGTCCACATTATGAGCTGGTACTAGGTCACCTTGGCCAAGTTAGGTCAGCTCGTCCAGGTTAGGTCAGCCTACCCTAGGTGAGCCTAGTCAATTAATAACTTTGCCCCTAGAATGCTGCCACTTAGTGGTTTTTGATTGGTGATCGGTTTTTGTCATATTAGATACCCCCCCCCCTTCTAAGGATGAGATAGCGTCTAGATCAGTTCATCCGAAGGAAGTACCAGTTTGGTTACTTGTGTCTTCAGACCGATAAGTTAGCTTTGAGATGTGTTTGGTTGAGTTAGCACAGTTTAGCCATTGCCCCATGTCAATTTTACCGTATCTTTGGCTTGGCAAGGGAGTTGCTAGTTGAGGTGATAAAATGGGCTTTTGGCTCAAAATCCCATAGACAATGCCATTTTGTTGATGTCACCAAGTTGTTAGAGTAGGGTGTCACCTTGGCTCGGAACCTCAACTACTAAGGGAGACATGCAATCAGAAGAGGCGTTAGAGGCCTTGAGGTAATATCATAGGGGTGTGGACTCCAACTATTAAGTTAATAATGCTAAGGGAAGAGAAGGTGAACCGTGGAGGCTTAGTGAGATGAGGTGAGAGCTTGGTGAGATAACTGGGGAGATCAGTGAGATATGGTGAGATGTGTGCCGAGGTGTCCAACATGTTTTGTGCATAGTAGCATAATGCAATGTTATGCTGTGTTTGCAAATGAATGAGGGGTCTCACCTATTGTAGGAGAGGGGTTTCATCCAAGAACTGACATGTTTCTCACACGTGGTCGGAACTCTCTCCACTTGTCACGTCCTTGTTGACACGTTGTGTACATGTTGTATGCATGTGGTAAGTAGACCTGTTCATGGGCCGGTCCGGGCCGGGCTCGGGCCGGGCTTTTACTGTGTATTAACAAATTTTTTTAAGGCCCGAGCCCGAGCCCGGCCCTCATAAAAAGCCCGAAGCCCGGAGCCTGGGCCCGGGCCCGAAATTTAGCCTATATTATTATTATTATTAATGTTGAAGCAGCTGAATAAAGAGAGAGATAGATTGAAATTATAAA